CTTTTTAACTACTCGCGGTACGGGGAATCTGGTTTAAAGGGCCGCATAGGGTTGTTGGATTTCAGAAGTGTTATATGCCAAAATGGTCCTGCCCTCCGGTGTTTTATGTCTGGCCCCTGTCTGTACATAGTGGTTGGAAAGTATTGTTTAAACGCTTATATAATAATAATAATAATAATAATAATAATAATAATAATAATAATAATAATTAGTCACGGTAAATATTAGACTAAAATCTAGTGGTAATAATACTAGGTTTCGTCAAAGGAAATTATTTTAAAGTAAACGAAGCGCTGTCCGAGTACTGAGTCACCACCTTATCAAGTGAGTGCATCGTTACTTTCATCTTACACATAGATATGAAATATTTTATATAAACTACGTGCTATGTGTGCATATTATCTGTGTACTTGCTGTCTATGTTGGATGAACGATTTTATACATGTTTTAAATGATTTAAACTTTATATATATATATATATATATATATATATATATATATATATATACGATAATATGTTGGGTAAAAATGGGTAGATGTAATAGATGGAATATGAGTTGGATGATGAGTTGAGAGGTGTTATAGACCACGAGGTGAGTGTGAGAGGTGGATGTTGTGAGAAGCCTTTCCCAAATGATGGCCCCGTCATCTAGCAGAGTATGGATGACAACCACGGACTATTCTAGACAGTCCAGTGGAACGCTAGCAGGCTCGCAACCTGTAGGTGTTGTGAACGATGTGTTCACCCGGTGTACTCTAAACCTTGGCGATCATGCAGACTTGGTGCCAAAACCCTGGTGACTATGCGGACTTAGTGCTTGTTGTATAAACCTTGGCGACTATGCAGACTTAGTGCCTAAACCTTGGCGACTATGCAGACTTAGTGTTTGTTGTATAAATCCTGGCGACTATGCAGACTTAGTGCCTAAATCCCGGTGACGATGGACTTCGTGCCGATTCCTTAGGATGATCCTTAGGAATGAATGAACGAGGAATAGTTGATTCTTATGGTAGATCCTTAAGAGTAAAGAAGATAATGGGGATGAGTAATTGGGTTGATTGTTTGATGTTTAAACATAATAATTATATTATTGTGGGTTGAAAACCCTATGTACTCACTAGGTTTCCCAACCTGACCCACTCCAGCTTATTTCTATCACAGGTGTCGATATGAAGTTACATTACACTGAGAGATTAAAGAGATGTAGATCACTAGTGATAATGAATGTAAGTTCTGTTTATGTTTATGTTTTTGTATTGACGATGACATCCCAAATGTTTTAAAATGAATAAAAATACATTTCTTCGGAAATGCTTTGATAACGTATTTATCATGTTTTACTGGGAACAAATTCCGCAACATTTTTATCAAAAGAAGTACTCTAATTTTTATAAAGCATAAACAAAATCGGTCTTTTCTGGCCGTGAAAATGAGGATGTCACATTCTATCTCCCCAGTGTTGCGCCCCCTAATTTTCAAAGGGTACGTTCTCAGGAAGCCCTCGATATCCTTTCGATCTAGCAGTAATGTTTTCTTTTGATTTAATTTAGTTAATGTAACTCAAATCGACATCTGTCTATATGTTTAACGCGAATTATTTGTCTATGTTGCTCCGATTTCACTTCAAAATCTCAGTCTATATCGTCGTACCAAACGAGCTTAAATCTAGGGTTATTGCTTTGAGTTTAAATTTTAACTTCCAATGATGTCTTCTTTCTGTTCCAACACTGTACTTGTTGCTTGCCTAATGCCGGATTTATTTTATTGACAAAAGATGTCGTAAATGTTCTTTATGTAACATGTGTCATGCTTTAAATGATAATTCTTTCCTCTAGGGTTACGGGGTGGATGCATTTGTAGTGCCAAGTGATAGGTAGTAATTATAAAGTAAAGATCATTAAGTGTAAATGATGGTTAAAACTTGTAAAATACAGAGCACTCTAACTCGTCAGTGCACTCTAATTGGTCAGTGATGGTTTAGTCAACATAGAGTTTTTATTGACAATCTCATTTCCAGATCTTATTGCATATTATGCAAAAAAAAAAAAAAATCAGGATACCCCTTTACTTTGAATCTGGCTCCGCCACTGCTCGAAACACAAACCTCGAGACTCCACTTCGCTACTCCAACTTTGCGAAACACAAGTATTCTATGGTGTTGTTAAGGATCGGTGCTAGCGGTGTCGTTAACTCTATTGCACCTCCCAATCCTACGTGATGCTAGATCTAGTGCCATCTATGTACGAACATCACTCCAGTCCCCGGACACCGTAGTGCATGAGTACCACGTGTCATAAGATCTTCTATATAAATCGTGTAACTAGAATCTATAGTGGCTTAAGATTTTCCTATAAGTCCTATTTCAACCTATTGTGCATCCTAAAATAATTCGGATAAGGTTTTAGACAAAATTCATCATGCTACCCAAACCCGCTACACATACCCCGCAGGAACAACCATATATATGTAAAGCATGCAACCCATGCAATCTAAATAAGTATAAAAACATGCAACATATTCAGTTTCAAAACATCTAAACATGTTCATACATTAGTCTTCGAAGTCAACTTATGCTAGCATGTTATATACATCAAATTCATCATCATAGAATAAATATAACATCTAATTCCTAATACATGCCAATCAACTAACAAACATACAATAGGATACAAATAACACATTGTAACCAGGCACAATCAATATCAAGTTTATCTTAAAATGAATCAAATCACCATCTACGAAATGCATGTTGACTATGCATCTTAGTGAGTTAGAACGAAAAACTCACATTTGTCACGAACGCTTTTCCCACTTGAAATCTCGTAAACACTTGGGTTTATCACGGCCTCCTCTAATATAACACAACAATCATTCTACTAGCTGTTTTCAAGTTTATTACTTTCACAAATATAGTTTTAATATTACATTAGGCCTATAGTCCTTTTTATTAGAATTTTAGAATTTCTCAACTTGACCTATATCTAGTGTTTTGAGTATAAAACAAAATCTACAACTCCAAATGGATTGATATCATAATCCCTAAAAACTAAACTCCATTTCCTACAACTTTATAAAATAATCATAACCAAACCAACTAAAATTCAATTTAATAAATTTTAGATTATTCGGTTCGGTTGGTTGAGTTAACCAAATACAAGCCGATTCTAGAATTTCTCTTTGGATAGAAAGGATGTGAAATAAACCAAAATTTACATAAACCACACGTTAGTTTAATATTAAAAACATATCTCTAACAATAAAATTTTTTGCCAAGTAAAAAAGGAATATATTAATATTAGACAACTTGGAAATAAATTCCATACATATTTTTTTTGCATCTTGGTGTATGTTTTATTACAAAGTAAACACTATAACCGTAAAGTTATTAATCTAATTTCCTATTGGAATAATTCGATTCATTCAATATATTAAGAAATTAACCAAATCGAAACCGAATAAAATCATTCTTATAGTATTTGGTTAACAACGTCTTTCTATTTAATAAATGAAACCTTTTGTCCACATGTCACTTCCATCAAACATTTTACATCAAAGTGAATTTCCAGTTATACTCTCCTTCATTCAATATTCAATTCAGCTTTTTTGAGATCTAAATCTGTATTCAAATTATGAAATACAGAATTTATCTTAAAAATCAATTTCTCTCCCCCTCTTTAGATAAATAGGTTGATATAATTTATATATATAGTCCCTGATTTAACATCTTAATTGATTTAAATGGTCCCTGTTTTATAGTTTTTCTAAAAAAATTAGTTAAAAGTTTACAATTAATTTAAATTTTTCACAACATACTGTTTTAACACTAATGATTTTCCAATTAATTTACACAAATACTATACCTTATATTAATATTTTCTTTATGCAACATATTCTATTAAATTATTTTTTTTAATTGATACTTAAGAAAATGAAAGTGTTAACTCAAATTTAAAAAATAAATAAACAATATATAAACGTCTTAATTATTAATTTGTTTTAAATTTAATATACATTTATATATACATTATTATTTACAAAATAAATTTTTACTATCATGTTTTTAATAAACTACTTTAATAAAATTTTATAAATTTTTGATTTTTTATTATCATTTTTAATCATCAATATTTTTTTTTTTCTTACCTGTGGTTTCCACAGGTTGTAACATAGTCTGGTTATTATTTGAAAACCGAATAACATAAACCAAATACCCCAAATCTCATTTGGCTCATTCTAGTAGCATAGGTATTTAGCTTCCTAAGTTTAGGTTTATGTAGGTTTAGGTATAAAACTTATCACCTTATTTATTCCCCAATTAAATTTTCGCTGCATTACTTGTATCATCTTTTCAATTTTACGTTTATTGCTCTTTGATTTGCTCTTTTTTTTAACCCGCCATTCATTATTGTTGGCTAACATTGCATTCGCATATATCAAAGATATTTGCATATATCAAAAGATCATCTAGTAACCAAATAGTCTTTGTCCTAGCGGTAACAAGGTGTTGGAGAGGTGTCCAACCTTTAAATGGTTGATGGTTCAAGTCTCGTCGACAATATATAAGTTTAGGAATAAGATTTAATGAGTACGTGTGTTAGCCATTCCAAAAAAAAAAAAATTATCTTTTGATGATTATATGAACTATATATGAGTTTTGTTGTTGTAAAAAATTAAATTGACTTTTAAAAAAAAGTTATTATATGTAGACAAAAAATTACATTAACTAAACCTTATAAATTATAAATTGACTTTACATAAAGCTATAATTATTAATTGCTAAGGAATGTAATTGGTGAACCCGAAGTATATTTTCATGAACCATACAAAACAGACGGAAAAGGTGGACGTGCATTAACACCCACCCCACTCTGGCACCCCACCCCCTACGGCCACCTCTCTCTTATTACCACACAATATATCTCCGTTCGCATTTCCTTCTTTTCTATACACAAACAACAACAACAACAAAACGATCAAGCAACGACGCCCCTTCATTTAAATGGACTCCCACAAGAACCCTAATCTTGAAACCAACCATTCTATACCCTCTTCTTCACAAGATCTCAAAAGCAGCCATGGCTTCAAGAATCTTGAACACAAAAGCTCTTCCTTTTCACTGGTTGTCAATGGAGAACACGACGTCAACGACGGAAGAAATACCATCTCAACACCATCACCATCACTACCAGCAGCGGCGGCGGAGGAGGAAGAGTGTGGAAGGGAGAGGCTAAAGAGGCACCGCGTGGAAATGGCGGGTCGGGTTTGGATTCCAGACATATGGGGTCAAGAAGATCTGCTTAATGACTGGATAGATTGCAGTGTGTTTGATTCTTCTTTAGGGAACAGCAGTATACTGTCAGCAAGAACAGCTTTGGTTCAAGAAGCGAGATCAACTTTAAGGATCGAAAACCGGTGTTAATCAGCCGGCGGCCGTCGTTCAGTAAATAACCAGAGATATGTCGAAGAACTGATTGCTATAACACGCGATGAACTTTCACCGGAGATGTGATTTTTCGGATCTTCGAGGGTAATTATTCAAATTTTATGTATTTGTTTGTTTTCTAAATGTTTTCAAACCAAAAGCAAAATAATGTTGTTGATATTAGAAACATTAATTAATACGTTTTTTATTTTGAGTTATTTATGTTGTTGATTATGTGTTCTTTGTTATAGTTTATATATTTATTAATTGGTATATCCTAATTAAAATAAAAATAGAAAGTTTTTGATTGGTAGATTGTACGTTTTTATGCATACTGATGACATTTTTCTGTAGTATTTTTTTTTTATTTCATTAGATATTAATCCTAAATTTGAAGTAGTTTAAAATTGAATGTCATATTTTTTTCCATGTACTCTTCATAAAACATTTTATTTTGTTATACTTTTCGTAATACTTTTAAGTCCATTTGATATAAACCTCTAAATATAAGAAGTTTAATATTAAAAAACAATTTAGCTTAGGTATTCTTCATATAATGATTTATACATACTCAAAGTCAAAAAATTTAATATATAAATCTCTATATACAAAGATTTATTTAATTTCATATGTATAATTATATATAACATTTTTTTCTTATTATTAAATTTTTTTTATATCTCACCCGTGTAATATATAAGTTTGAAACATAGTAATAACAATAAGAATAAACTCCCGTCATTCAAAAAAAAAACAATAAAACAAGCACTCCAATAAAAGATCTAATGAATAACTAGACATATGAACTGATAGGTGTAATAGGTGTTAAAATTTAATTACATATGTGATATTTTGGTCTTCGATGGTAATTATTCAAATTTTATGTATTTGTTGGTTTTCTAAATGTTTTCAAACCAAAAGCAAAATAATGTTATTGATATTAGAGAAATTAATTAATACGTTTTTTTATTTTGAGTTATTTATGTTGTTGATTATGCCTTCTTTATATATTTATTAATTGGTATATCCTAATTATAATAAAAATAGAAACTTTTTGATTGGTATATTGTATATTTTTATGCACATTGATACTGTATGTCATTTTTTTCGTAGTATTTATTTATTTATTTATTATTTCATTTGATATTAATCCTAAAATTAAAGGAGTTTAAAATTAAATGTCATATTTTTTCCATGTATTCTTCATAAAACATTTTATTTTGTTATAATTTTTGTAATACTTTTAAATTCACCTTATATAAACCCTTAAATATAAGAAATTTAGTTTAGGTATTCTTCATATACATACTCAAAATCAAAAAATTTAATATATAAATCCCTATATACAAAGAATTATTTAATTTCATATTTATAATTATATATAACATTTTTTATTATTTGAACTTTTTTTATATCTCACTCGTGTCACCCGTATAGTACATGAGTTTGTAACATAGTAATAACAATAAGAATAAGCTTCCGCAGTTCGAAAAAAAAAAAAAACAATAAAAACAAGCACTCCAATAAAAGATTTAGTGAATAACCAGACATATAAACTGATCATTGTAACAGACGTTAAAATTTAACTGCAGATGTGATTTTTTTATCTTCCATAGTAATTATTCAAATTTTATGTATTTGTTGGTTTTCTGAATATTTTCAAACAAAAAAACAAAATAATGTTGTTGATATTATAAACATTAATTAATACGTTTTTATTTTGTCTTATTTATGCCTTTATAGTTTATAGTGTTGATTATGTCTTCTTTCATGTAGTTTATTTATTTATTAATTGGTATATAATAACAATAAGAATAATCAACACCCATAAAAGATCTAACGTGAATAAAGGCAGATTATTATATTTCGAGTTATTTATGGTCCTGAATATTATTATTATAGTTATAATCAGTTTATTTTTTAATTTTCTAAATATGCTATCCGGCATCTTTGTTAAGTCAATTACGAGACAAATTTTTTTTTTAACTATTTTACAATTTCACTAAGCAGTGATATTTATAGGATACTAGTTTATAACGGAACCACGATTACAAAATTAATTAAACTTTTATACTGAGAACTTAAAATTATTAACCAATTATTTTAAATAAATTATTAATTAAAAGATATTTTTTTAGTTATATAAAAGTATAATCGTTAATTTAAATAAATATGTGAAATTATATCACATTATAATTTGTATTAATTTTATTTTAATATTTATTCTAATGTTATTAATTTAATATAATTAGAATTTAAAATTTAAAATTTAAAATTTAAAATTAATAGGTTGATAAGGGGTATATATTAATTAGAAAGCATAACAGGGCAACATATGGCCAAAGTAGAATAAAATATGCATTAATTAGAAGGCCTAATAGGTTGACACATGTCAAAAAGATATTAAAAATATTCTTTTATTAGAATAGGGATCTACGACAGTAAAAGTTTAGTGCGAAGGTACGCAATTTTTTTTATTTTAAATAAAAAAATCCATAATCTAAAAGGCATTTAAAATAATCTTTGAGTTTTTAAAATTTAAAATTTTATGTTATTTTAGCTTTAAAAACTTATAATTATTTATAAATTAAGAGATGTGATTTTTTTTGGAACGACAAATATATTCTACTCCTAAACTATTCTTCTAAATCCACATATGTCCCTAGCGGGACCTGAACCATCGACCTCAATAAGAGAGGGCAACACCGAATATGCTGGGTCACAAACCCTTTGGTTAAAAAAAAGTGAAATTTCTATTTAGGTATTTGATCTATCCATTTAAAATAAGATGATTTGACTTTTATATTTTGATTTTAATTGAAAGAAATTCATGATGAAGGATATATCCACATCGCCTTGTTTTTAAATTGATAAATAAGAAATTAAATGCAGATATCATCTCTCATTAATTAATTGTATAAAACATATATTATATTCACCGAAGAAACCATAAGGCCTTTAGCCTAGCGGTAAAGGTTATGAGTTCAAGTCTTTTGAAAGACAGATAGTATTTATCAAATAATTAGCTAGTTTGTCGTTCTAAAAAAAATCACCGAATAAGTTTTAAATTCTAACATATATTAGACTATACCCATTTATAATCATACCTAACTCAATTTGTAACATCCAAGAATTTAGGTGTATCTGTTTAACCCTTCCTCTTCTCCAAATTGTCAAGGGAAGCCCCTAAATGGAAAATGTTGCAAAGGAGTACGTTGGGCGTACTAAAGAGTACGCTGCGCGTACTCATTCGCTTATAATAAACGTGGACTCCATGAAGTACGCTGGGCGTACTAAAGTTACGCTGGGCGTAACCGGCCCAGATGCAAAACCCTAATTTAGACTTGAGCCCTATATAAAGAAGGCTATGGCCTTATCCTCAGCCACCATTTGAGTGAGTGAAACCCTAAAAGAGATCCAACCTTCGTTCTAAGCTTGTGTGAGTGTTTTTGGAGCTAAAAGTGCCTTCGTGTGTTAGTAAAGAAGAAGAGGAGATTCTTGTGAAGGCTAGAAGTTGGAGTGCAAGCTTGGATCTGAGTTCTACAGAGGGAGAAGCTTCACTTGGAGGTAAAAAGCTCAGAACTTTCCTTGTTATTATGGTTGTGTGCTTCTTGGACCAATCTTTAGGGTTTTTGGTCCCAAGATGGAGACTTTTTGAGCAAATGGCCTCCATAAGCTAGAATCTGACTTATTTCAGTGTATTATGCATTGTGGGTGCATAAAAATCCAATCTTGGACGTTGAGACTAAGTCATGCATGAGATTAGGGCTTAATGGGGAAAGATGTTATATGTTGGAAGTGGTTGGTGACCTTTATAGCCATGCAAAGGCTTAAAGGTTTTGACTTTATGACTTAAGAGGCAGTAGAGAGCCTATTACTTAAGAGGCAGTAGAGACCATGCATGCATCGAGGGTAGCTCACAGCTACGTTGCGCGTAGCTGGGAGTACGCTCGGCATACGTCCTAGACTCACTTTTCTCACTCTTCTGGGCTTAATCCGTTAAGACCGTAGCTACAATCTCAAATCTGGGCTAACTAGAGTCTATTACTTCACAAATTTGGTGACTTTAAGCCTTAGTATGGCTGGTAAAGTCTAAAACTCATAAACTCTCATCCTTTACTCACAAAACTCCACATATCTCATGCATGGAGAGATCTTGACGACAAGTATCTCATTTTTATGAGTCCAAATGACTATAAACATCTAAATAGACATGCATTATGCTCTGGAGTTCAGCAAGCTCATAAAGCTTCAAACTTGGGACATAAAACCCTAAAAATGGACCAAAACATGAACTAATCAAAACAAAGAGAAAGCTTTGAGCTTGATACCTCTGAATGATGCACCAACCACAGGGAAACTCAGATCCAAAACTTTGGACACCAACTCTTCTTCCTTCAAAAGCTCCTTCTTCACAAAAGAATCCTACAAGATCACTCAATAAGCCTCAAATGCTCACACAAGCTATGAAAATGGGATTTAGGCTTTGAGGGAAGTTGAAGGCTGGAAATGGTGGTTGGAAATGAGGTCATCATGTTCCTTAAATAGGGACACACAACACAATTAGGGTTTACACTCTGAGCCTAGTACACCCACGTATCCTCTGGTACGCCCAGCGTACTAGGTGGCCCCCGCGTCCATAATAAGCACATGAGTACACTGATCGTACACATGCGTACGCCCCACGTACTCATTTGCCACCTTTTTCTCAATTAAGGACTAGTTTTGACAACTCAATAAAAGTAAGGGTCATCAATACATACCTTATCTTGGGATGTTACACTAGGAGTGCTTGTTACACAAATTGATAAAAAAAAGAGAACATTGTTATTTTTGGGTTTTGTATAGGCCTAAATGCAAGTAATATCAAATTACTTTGATATATTGGTGCATAATAACATCCCACTCGTATCTTTTTTTCTATTACAACGTTGTTCTTTGGTATTTGTATAACCTATATGACCTTACTGATGGGTTTTGAGTACTACAACATTCAT